TAAGTATATCTTTATACTTTTCTTAAAATTCAAAACGATCACTGTATCTTATTTATCAGTAATTAAAACGATTTTTTTAAATGCCAGTTTCAGTGACTCTCTTATCACTGAATCTGATGCCTTAAAATCCTTACTGAATCTTTCTTTTCAGTGATAAAATGTTTTAAATGTTCTTATCATTGTTTTCTTAGACACTGTATGACTCTTCATTTTCTTAAAAATTATTTGTTTTTAAAGGAAAATAGTTAATGAACCGTCTTTATGACGACATTCTCTATTTACTATGCGCGACGCTTTGAGATGTGCAAAAGGTTCTGTCATTACGCTACCTCATTTAATGACATCCAATCATGGATGAGAACGTTGGTATATTTTTCATCATGACCACTTTCCTGAACCGTTGTCTTTTCTCTCTCTCATATTATTTCTCTCTCCTCCTACCTATAAATATGAGACTTCTCCATTTTTCTCTTTACGCTTACAAAATTCATAGACGAAACTCTGCACGAATTCTCTCCAGATTTAGGGAAGTTGCCAATCATTATTTCATCATCATTAGAAGCTGACCAAGATGAAAAGTTGGTTGATATGTTGAAACTTCATACCAAGGCCCTAGGATGGACCATTGCTGACCTCAAAGGGATAAGTCCCACCATTTGTCAACATAAAATAATTTTGGAAGACAAAAGTTTCACCTCCGTTGAGCCTCAAAGAAGGCTAAATCCTGTCATGGAGGTTGTCAAAAAGGAAATTTTAAAATGGCTTGATGCTGGCATAATTATCCTATTGCTAGTAGTACATGTGTCAGTCATGTGCAATGTGTACCTAAAAAGGGAGGAGTTACTGTTGTACCAAATGAGAAGAATGAACTTATACCTACTAGAATAGTAACTAGTTGTAGGATATGTATGGACTATAGAAGGCTTAATAAAGCCACTCAAAAAGACCTTTTTCCATTATCCTTCATAGACCAAATGTTAGATAGACTAGCAGGAAAATAGTTTTATTGTTTCTTAGATGGCTACTCCCGTTACAACCAGATTGCCATAGCACCAAATGACCAGGAAAATACTTACTTTCACATGTTCATATGGAACTTTTGCTTTTAGAATAATGTCTTTTGGACTTTGTAATGCCCCTGCCACTTTCCAAAGGTGTATGATGTCTATTTTCTCAGATATGTTAGAACACTCCATGGAAACTTTATCATTTTTCAGTTTATGGTACATCATATGACCTGTGTTTGCAAAACCTTGAAAAAAAGTCTTAAAAGATGTGAAGAAACAGATTTGGTTTTGAATTGGGAAAGTGTCACTTTATGGTAAAAGAAGTCATAGTGTTAGGGCATTTAATTTCCAAAAGAGGCATTGAAGTTGATAAAGCAAAGGTAGAAGTAATTGAGAAGTTGCCTGAACCAACAACTGTAAAGGGGATCAGAAGTTTTTTAGGACATGCAGGTTTTTATAGGAGGTTTATTAAAGATTTTTCAAAATATCAAAACCTCTTTGTTTATTATTACAGTATGACCATGTTTTCAATTTTAATGAAGATTGTAGAAAAGCTTTCAACATTTTAAAAGAAGCATTGGTTACTACTCCTGTGGTAATAACACCTGATTGGTCCAAACCCTTTGAAATAATGACTGATGCTAGTGACTGGGCAGTTGGAGCAGTGTTAGGTCAAAAGAAAGAATGCAAGCAAAACTCTCAATGATGCTCAAATCAATTACACCACTACTGAAAAGGAATTATTAGTTGTGGTAATTGCTTTTGAAAAATTCAGATCATACTTGATGGGAACCAAAGTGATTGTTCATACTGATCATGCTGCCATCAAGTACCTTATTTCTAAAAAAGATGCAAAACCAAGGTTAATAAGGTGGGTTTTGCTTTTGCAAGAGTTTGATTTGGAAATCATTGATAGAAAAGGGGTGGATAATCAAGTGGTCGACCATCTGTCAAGATTGGAAAAACAAGACAAACCAGTGCAAAGTAGTGACATCTGTGAAGTATTTCCAGATKAAAGAATTTTGGTTCTTAATCATACTACAGTGCCTTGTTAATTACTTAGCTTGTGGGATTATTCCCAAGGAATTTAATAAGTATCAAAGAAAGAAGCTTATCTATGATTCAAAGAAATATTTATGGGATGACCCTTTCTTGTTTAAAGTTTGTGCAGATCAGGTGATTAGAAGATGCATCCCAAAAGAAGTGACATCAGTTCTATAGCACTGCCATGCAGGACCTTGTGGAGGAAATTTTGGAGAATGTAGGACAGCATCCAAGGTTTTACAATCAGGATTCTACTAGCCTACTTTGCACAGTGATGCTCAAAACTTTGTAAAAAGTTGCAATGAGTGCCAGAGGAGTGAAAATATCTGTAGAAGAAATGAAATGCCTTTAAACGGAATTCTAGAAATAGAATTATTTGATGTTTGGGGTATAGACTTTATGGGACCTTTTCCTCTATCCAAAATTTGTGCCTACATATTGGTAGTTGTGGACTATGTGTCCAAATGGGTGGAAGCCATGGCTTGCCATTCCAATGATGCTAAAACAGTTGTTAAGTTCTTACAAAAGCACATATTCACTAGATATGGTACACCTCGTGCCTTAATTAGTGATGAAGGCACTCACTTCATAAACAACATGTTAGAAGAAGTTCTTGATAAGTATGACATCAAGCATAGGGTAGCAACTGCCTACTATCCTCAGACCAACGGATTAGCTGAATTGTCAAATGGGAAGATAAAAGGGATTTTGACCAAAGTAGTCAAGCCACATAGAAAGGATTGGGCCTCTAAGTTAGATGACGCTTTATGGGCCTACCGAACTGCTTACAAAACCCCTATTGGTATGTCTCCCTATAAATTGGTCTTTGGAAAAGTTTGCCATTTACCTGTGGAATTAGAGCACAAAGCCTATTGGGTCATTAAGGAACTTAACATGAGTTTAGATGAGGCCGGAAGAAAAATGACTTTGCAACTTTGTGAATTGGAAGAGCACAGGAATTTTTCCTTTGAAAATGCTAAGCTATACAAAGAAAATACAAAAAAAATGGCATGATAAAAAGATTCTTCCAAAAGAGTTCACAGAAGGCCAAAAAGTCTTATTGTTCAATTCAAGGTTAAAGTTATTTCCTGGAAAGCTGAATTCCAGATTGACCGGACCTTTCATTGTTACCAAAGTATACCCCTGCGGAGTAATTGACTTGATAGATCCGGAGAGGGGTACTACTTTCAAAGTAAATGGGCAACGTGTAAGACCTTTCTTTGATTCAATGGTTTTTACGCAACCTATTGAGGTTATTTTTCTGAAATAATAGTTTTTTGTAAATATTAGTCTTTATATATTTATAAGTTATTATTTATATTCTTATTTTTATTTTATTTTGCATTTTCATTTTTAATTTTTAGATAAAGCTTTTATCTTTATTTTCCTTTATTTTTTAGAATAATTTCTTTTATAACATCTAATATATTTAGTTAGGTTTTATATTTAAAATTTGGGTTTTGTTTTCTTGGGCTGGAATTTAATTTATAGCTGATGACCTAGTTTGTTTTTATTAATTAACCAGGTCGGCCAAAGAAAAGCTTGGCCTAGTTGCATTTCTTATTAACAGGCCGTGAATAAGGAAGCCATGGCGAAGGCCGCGAAGAAGAAGCCCAAAAGAGAAGTCTGTGTCTAGGACAGTCAAGCCACAAGGCCCGCGAAGGAGAAGCCCAAGTACGAAGCCTGTTTGGTACGGCCTGTCAACATCCTGCGCTTTCATACCAGGCAACGACCGGCGACTGTCTCTTCACCTTCAAACTCTCAACTCACCATCACCGTACTCTCCTCCTTCACGCTCGAAGAAACCGTCGACCATAGCTCACCAAGCCACCATTTTCGAGAAGAAAGGACTTCATTGAACTGGCATTGTTAAAGAAGGTACCATTTCTGACTAATCACTCGATAACTGTCATTGATCAGGGAAAAGTTTGAAATTTTCGAAACCAAAATCTTGGAGAAGAAGTTTAGAGCCTTTAAAAACCCCATAATCACTGTTCATAAACCATTTGGGTTTGATATTAGCCACTATTCACTATCTCTATTTCTCCTTGCTTCCAAAAATCATTACCATTCCCCTGTTCCCTCTGTATGGCCATTCTCAAGTCTCGGCCAAGAAGAAGAGAGGGAGAGTCAGATTCCATGCCCCCTGTAAACAGCCATGATCACTCTAGTGAGAGTGAAGAAGAACCCATTGATGCCATTCCCTTGAGGCAGGTTCCATTTGCCAAACCCAAACCTAAACCCCAACCACTTCCTCAAACTCAGGCTCAAACAATTATGAAGACTGAACCACAGCCACCTCCATAATACCAAGCTACCCAGAGAATGACCAGAAGCAGAGCAAAAGGGTTGGCCAATTTCAAGCCCATTAAGCAGAAGAAGAGCATTGTGATCAACCTATCAGATGATAGTGATTCACCAAATGAGAGGCCTACTGCTCAAGCAAGTGCAAGCAGACCATCACAAGAGGATTCAACCTCTTTGAATACTTTGGCAGATGCAGCAACCCAAATGATCACTCCAAGCATACCTCCAAGCATTACAGAGAGGCTTCAATCAAGTTTGAAAATCACCAGACCTTTAACTATGGATTTGCTGTCTAGTTTTTCCTGTGTATCCTCAAGCTAGTGTGGGCTTTATGTTGAGGAAGTCTGTGGATGAGGCCATTGCTGCCTCTAATGAAGTATTGGGGCTAAGGTCAGCAACTTGTGCCCCTACTATATCCATGGTCCACATTCAGCCTCTATGGCTACCCAAGCACCAAAAAAGGGAAATTCATCCCTTAAGCACTCTTTTAGTGCAGCTTTGGCAGCCATGGACAAGGTGATTAGGGAAAAACCAGAGTGTGATCCATCCCCTGCCCAATCACCTATTACCACCACCCATGCACCCACCATCACTAGAGACATACCCATTGAATTCAACTTCATGGAAGCACCACATTTCACCTCTATTCCTGTTACATCTACCACTGTTGAACCTACCATAGTTGACCATCTCACCACATCCCAAACAGTTTCTAGACCATCCCCTGTTGAAACAGTTACCACTAGCCTAATGCACTCACCAATTCAACCCACAGTCACTAAATCTACATCTACTGAACCTATTATTCCTTTGCCACCTACTGTTTCCATCTAAGAATTAAATCCTAGCCTAACACCCTTTGAACACAATGAAAACCCATCTGATCCACAAAATACCCCTATCACTCAAACACCACCACCCTCACCCCACTCCACTAAACCATACATCCCTAGTCCAAACCAACCCAATAGCCCTATCCACTCTAGGACTCATGACTATTATGAGGGGACACACTTTGCTCACCATAGCCCTGAGCACAGCAGCCCCCATGTTGAACAAGAAAGGGAGGAAGTTGATATTGGTGCAAGTTTGAGAAAGAAAGTGGCAAGGAAGAAGAGAATAGGCAGAGTTGAATCTAGAAGTTCAAAGAGAAGGAGAGAGGACAGTGAGGACTCAGAGGCTATGGAAAGGGCAGCAAGAAGAAGAAAGAGGCCAGGGCAGCAATTTGAAGATGGGCCAGGCAATGGAGGATCACACCAACACCCTGAAGAGAACAATAGTGAAGAAGCACCATAAGTTGATGAAAAGGGTGGATGACTTAAAGAAGAAGGTGGACATTTTGAAAAAAGAAAGGGTGCAACGGGCTGAGTACAAGATGCAGAAGGAGAGGATGCTCAGAGCTACTACCAAGCATGGAAAATCAAAGAGTGCAATCAAGCTTCCACCTCCACCTAAATCCATCTTGCTACAGCATTCAGACTCTCCTACTCAGTCTGAGTAGGACAGGTTCTACCTTCCTAACCTTTTGTATATATTTCTATTTTAGCTATGCATGACCATTTAGCTGAGTTTAATGTTTATTTTGTTGTTTTAAAAGCATTTGTTGTTTTGCTGATTTGGTATATAAAGCTTGATGTTGGTATGATCTTTTGGTTGAGTTTAGTTTCAGGTTTGTTATTTTAAGCAATAGCTACTTTTTGTTTGATTTGCTGTTTTAAATGATTAGTTGTGGTTTTTCTTTTGTTGTGTTGATTCTGCTGTTCCTCTGTTTTAGCAGTAGTATCTTAGGTCCTAGTAGTCTAGTTTGGTTTCAAATTAATGTTTGATCTTTGGGTACTGTTTGGTATTCATTTTGCTGTTTTCACATAAATTTTTGTTGTTTTGAGATTTAAACTCTATTGTTTTAAATTGTTGTTTTTAGGTCTAGTTTGTTGTTTTCATTAGTAATTTACTGATTCATGTTTTATTGTTTGTTGTTTGATGTTTAGTTTCTTTTACTATTTATAGTTACCATCTTAGTTTCATTTTGCTGTTTTAACATTTCTTAAGCATGCTTTATGTTGTCTCTATTCTTTGTTGTTTTAAGATTGAGACAGTCATATGCTCATACATTTTATTTGTTGTTTTAAGTGCTATGCAGTCCCACCATTATGACCATGCTTTTCATATTGCTATGTCCTGCTTCACAAAATCTGTTCAACAGAATCTGTTTTTTTGGGATCTTAACTTTGCTGTTTTCATTAGTAAATTGTTGTCTTTATTTTGATATTTGTTGTCTTAAAATTCTCTTGTTTAGTTTCTTTGTTGTTTTTAGCTATTTCAGGCACATCATAGTCTAAAGGCATGATTTACCTATATATTGATGATTCTGTTTTCTCTTTGCCTCAATTGAGGATATTTGATGTTTTTAAGATGTCATATAGTCTTACTCATGCATTATCTTTGCTGTTTTACTACTGTTAGGTTGCTGTTTGCATAGCTGATATGACTGTTTTAAGAAGGGTCTTGTTTAATGCACTCATTCTCACCTCCATGTGTTTTGATAAGACCAATACAGGTTGAGTCATAAGAAGACAATGGCAATCCCATTGTCTAGTTCCATTTGGTCTTTTTCATCGCAGAACAATGGCAATCCCATTGTTTGATTCCTTTAAGGTTGTCTCATGGTAAAACAATGGCAATCCCATTGTTTAGTTTCATGTTACCATGTTGTAGGGTAATACAGTCCTCTGGTTGACCATTGACTTGGATTGAAACTCTTCATTGGTACCACATCCTTACTCTAGGGTCAATTTGACTTAGAATTGGATTGTTGGTTTTGCCTAAGTCCTTTCTTTGAGTCTTGAGTCATTTTCTTTTCACAAAATGATCAAGTCACACTTGTGACTTCTCATCTTTGCTTTTCTGTTTCAATTATTTAGGTTTGAGTCTTTTTGCTTTTAAAGATAATCAATTACACTTATTGGTCATCTTTGCTTTTCTGTTTCATTTTAGGTTTTAGGCACTGATTTTAAGTAGCATTTATTCCTTTAGCCATATATGCACCAAAAATAGAATAAATGATAAATGTGTTGTACAAATGCTTGAATTGATGCCATAGCCACAATAATCCAAAGCTTAAACCATCTTTATCTTTAATTGAGCCTCTAGAACTAGCCAACCATTTCCAAAGCTTGAACTWGATTCAATTGGGCYTTCATTTCAATTTGGCCAATTTGTAGCCTTGTTACACTCACAATGAGGACATTGTTTACCTTAAGTTTGGAAGAGGGTCCTAAAAAGTACCAAACACTATAGAGTTCATGAAACATATGCACTAAGACCAAAAGACAAACAAAGGAACAAAGTTCCATGTCTTGTGCATACAAAAGATGTGTCAAAGTACACCAGAATGTTTGAAAAGGACCAAAGTATCCAAACATACCTCAATATGAGATGCATAACAGTAAAATTGTGCTATGGAGTGAAAAAGTGAGATGAGGTAAAAGACATGCATTGAAAAGAAAAAGCCAAGTGCAAAACCCAATTCAAAGTCCCAAAATATCTATTGAATCTAGTACAGCAATAGAAATGTAGGCTAGCTTTTGGTTTGGCAATATGAAAGACTTAAGTTTGGGGGAGTTAGGTTTATGAAGGGCTATGTATATCTAGCATCAAGTCAAGAGTAGAACACTTTCATTCAAAAAAATTCAAAAATATGCATATTT